TATAGTGCTGTAGGTTAGTATGGCAGTCATAATGGTTAAGAGGGAAGAGCAAATGGAGTATGAAGTCCATTCAGAATTGACACAAAGCCAGCCTTTCATTCTTTCAGCACAGCTCTCACACTTTAGGGAGTGGATGGAAGAAGGAAATGAAGAAGAGAAGGAAAAGAAAAGGGGGGGAAGAAAAGATCATGCAAAATTAGTTGATGCAAGGGCTTAGGTCCAAGGTAGGGGTGATCCCCACATTGGGCCTGTCTGTCTCCTAGGCCACCCATGACAATAACGAGCAAGGGACTGGGGGGGCATTGAAGTTACTGTATAATCATTGAAGATATAAAGTGATGGCTAGGCCTTTATTTGATAACAATACATTTTATACAAGCATGTGATTTATTTGGTGATAATATAGTAATTGCAAATCAACATATGAACTTGGTGTGTATATGTAATGGTAAAGAATACCAGACAAATCCATCTATGAAGCTCCTTTTCAAGTATATGTTATTGTTCAATTCACAACTCCAAATCTAATTTCAGAGGAAATTAAATAATCAAATATTTATGCTATTCTTCTTCTCCTTCCCCTAAAATAATCTGCTCCATTTTTAGCTACTAATGAGTGGGACCAATGTAGCAGAAATCTATTATATCATGTTTGGAAGAGGAGACTAGTGAGTTACATTTGCAGAATACGGAATTTGAAAAATCCAGTGTTACATCCACACATAGTCTGTATGGAAAGTTTTAATTTTCTTTTTGAAATTTGCATAATTTCAGTCTACAATTATACAGAAAAATACAAAAATTATCTTGCTTTTTGTTGTAATTTCTAGTTACCTTTTTGCATTTTTATTTTAAAAGCATTTCTTTCTGAAACACTGTAGATAACATTTTAATAGATTAGTATCATCTATAAAGAACAAAGTTCCTGATGGCAAGTGGTAAAAAAGGAGCAATAAGAGGGAAAATATTCCTGTATGACAAAATGTGTATGATATTTCATTGTATTCTCTTGTGGTAAAGTGTACTCCCAATTATGAACTACAATATAAACATCGCCAAGGTCATGATCTATGGAAGTATTGTGTCATCTACACTGTGCTGATTGTGAAATCCATATATCAAATAAAAAATACATGGTATGCTTATTGCTATACTTTTGTCATATCTGGGATAAATAATTACTTTTGTATATATTCATATTTAACCCATCAATATACTTAAAGAATAAACACAGTTTTAAAGAATATACAATAAATTTATCTGGCATTAACAATATATGCTATATCATACACTGTTGTGTATTGAATCCAATGCCCATTCCATTTATACAAAATGTTCAGCTACATGCTTAAAGCTTTACAATGTAAGACATAAATAAATAATTAATTTGGTAAGCTCATTTTCAGTATTACATTTGTCTTATCAAAGTTTCTACAATTTCAGCACACCTAGCCACCATTTCAAATCTCGAAGAAATTATTGCACATTAAAGCAAGCCTGTTGCCATTCATCTTACCAAAATCACTTAAAAGATGAAGTGATCACTGGAATGACAAAAACAATGATGTTCTAAAAAACAATTCTCTAGAAAAATGCATTTACATTTTTTGACTTTCAACTGTAGTAACTCTGTAATAAATGGAGCTAAGACAAATTATGGAGCTAACACATTTTGAAAGTTGCAAAATATACATGCTTTTTCCTAGAAAGTTCTTTTTTTTATTATTATCATTACTATTATCATTTTTTAGAACATGTTTGATTTGTTATTCAAATGAACACCTCATATATCTTAATTTTCTCTTAAACCTATCATACAAAAATCTCCTCAAATCTGAGTTGTTTTTCAATACAAAGAGACTTGGTAGCCAAACATTCTGTATTTTATTATTACACAATATATCTGTCTCAAAGGTAATTTGACATTTAACACAAAGTACTGGATTCATCAGATATTAAAATAAATAATCCTGTTTCAGAAGCAAATACTGATTGTATATTTAAAAATACAGAGTATAATATTTCCAAAATCTTTCCCTATGCAAGGACAGTTCAAAATTGAAGTTTACATATGTCTGTGTCTAAGCCTTTCCATTTTCAACAACAATATCCAACAATTCTTTTCTTTATAATAAATTATTTTTTTGAAGTTCAAGGCTAATTCAAAGAAAACTATGTTTCATACTGTTATCATAATAATCATTATTATCGTAAATATAATGACCATTATCTGTAACATTAATATTATTATTATGTGATGAAGAAGATAATGATGGTGGTGATGGTGATGATGATTGTGATGTGATGATGATTATGACAAATATAAATGATGATTATAATAATGTATGAATGATAATGATGTTAATTATGATGACGATGATAATAATAATGATAAAGATAATAATAATAATAATAATAATAATAATAATAATAATAATAATAATAATAAAAAAAATAATAATAATAACAATAACAAAAATATTAATGATAAATGATAATA